CTGGAAAAGTAGTTGAAAATCCTCTTTCGATCTTACTGTCTAAAGCCCACCTTTTTTTCTTAGGGGGGGTGGGGAGAAGGAAGCAAGTATGATTATGTTGTGCATCTGAATGGAATTTCTTGCACTTATTTGAGATTTAAGAGAAAAATGGTACTATATCCAGAGCTGTTTCTGGGTGAGTCAGAATCACTTCACACCAGACAGAAAGGCTTTTGTGAGACTCATTCAAGCTCCCTCTTCCTTAATACATCCTTGGATTGAGTTAAACACATGGGGGCAAACCTGTCAGAAGAGACTGCTGACTCACCTTCGAAATGTATACTTTTTAGGTCTCTGAGGCATAAAAATGAATATTTTGTTTTTAGGAGGAAAAAAAACCCCACTGGCCCCATGAAAGTCTATTTGCATATTAGCAATTACCAACTTTAAAAGGTGAATGACTATGGGAGGGGAAAGAGCAAAAGGGATCCAGCTTTTTCAGTCAGGAATATTTACTTTTTCCTCATCTCTCCTCCTCAGGGAATGTTGGCCCTTGTGTTAAATTGCATTGATCGTTTGAATATCTACAACAGTGTAGCACACTTTGCAGGGATTGCAAGGGAAGAGAGTGGTCCAGCCTGGAAAGAAATTCTGAACCTCCTATACAAATTGCTGGGTAAGCACACATACAGCACCCTGCCTGGCAAGATTCCCGAGGGTGGCATATAAGGGATTTCCATATGAGGCCCAAGATGGCCATCCGCCTCATTCCTTGGAAGCCTTTGGTTAACCATTCGATTCTAGCCCAGCTGTTCACGCTGTGATCTAGTAGTTTATTGTACTCTCCAAACTTAGAGCAGGAAGTTAGCAGTGGGGAGAAGCAGATGGTGATCAGTGTTGACAACACTACCTGTGGTACCCTTGACAGAAACATACACTCTCTGAACTTCACCTTCTTATGTTTAAAATGAGGAAACAAGACTGGAACATATATATGGTATCTTCTGCAAAGATAGCACCTGCACTTTGAGGACTGTTATTCTCTTAAATTCTGTGCCCTTTCACTTGTCGGTCATGATTCGCACTTCTTTGGCCTGTTGTTTATTTCATGTTGGTAGAAAGACAACAGTAGCAAGTAAGAACGTCCCAGCACCCAGCCCACCTTCTCACACCATCAGTGTGGGATGACGTTCTGGTGCCTGTTCTAACAGGTTCCGTCCTGTTAGGCCTAGCCACCAGCCTATGGGAGGGAGGCAGCGAGAAGACAGTATCCGCTTGTGCAAGAAGGTGGCTGCCAGTACTCACTCAGTGCCTGTGACAAGGCAGCACTTTAGGGCTTTGTGTCCCACTGAGAGGAAGTCCACAGAGGGTTCAGTAGGGCAGAGGGGAGCCTGGAGAAATCAGTCTGGACCTGTTTTCCATGGTAGGGTCAAGCTGATTGGATTGCCACTGTTCTGTGTCACCTTGTAGAGTCTCTTCAAACTCTAGTATTTTGTAATGATAGGGCTCGAACTCGGTAGTAGTATTATAACAATAACAGCTAACATTTATTGCTCTCTGTGTGCCACATAGTGGAATATCTTTTTTTGGTCCTCAGAGTAACACTTTGAGGTGTAGTTACTGTTATAATCCCCATTTTACTGATAAACAAACTGATGCACAGAGATGCTCATAACCCAAGGTCACACATCTAGCAAGTGACGGAGCAATGGCTGGAGACCCAGCAGTCTCACGTTAGACCTCTTCTGCTCACCCCTTGCCACAGCTGACCTGAAAAGCAGGTTAGGAGCTCGGACTGAATTCTGCCCTCTTCCAACTATGGAAATACAAAGCAGAGGCCTGGAGAAGGCCTTTTCTTATCCTAAATTTACCATTTTTCAGCCTCTATAAAATCCAGTCCCTGCAAACCATCTGCATGAAGGGCAAGCTACTTGGGAGCTAATCAGTTTACATGGACTTGTTCCAGATTTGCGTCTACTAATTTTGCCCTACGGAGAGAAGTTCGCCATTAGAGGTAAAATTCTAATGGCAGCACATTCTCTCCCTCTTTTATACTATCATCTGCCTGTGGTCTTCAGGTATGAACAGGCATTGGAACCAGCTGGAGGGCTGGCTACAACTCAGATGCTGGGCCCCATCCTCAAAGTTTCTAATTCAGTAGATCTGGGATGAGGCCTAAGAATTTGAGTTTATAACAGCTTCTCAGGTGATGCTGATATTCTTGATCCAGGGACCACACACTGAAAACCACTGTCAGGTGGTGATATGTTTTAGACATTTTATAGTTACATGTCATTATTATTTATCTATTAAATAATAGATAACTAGTCCCTCCAGCTGTGTGCATTGCTATGCCTTCCTTCAGCATGGAAGAATAGAAAATCTCTAGCTAAATTGAAGAAAACATTGCAAGAAGTTGAGTTCTTAAGTCACTAACTAAGCAGATATTAAATTCTTGCTTGTCACCATCTGAAGCAATTTTGTTGATTTATGTGCTTATTATCTCTATCCGCTACTTGATGAAGACAGAGGATCTGCCTCTTCTCCCCATTGCTCTGTTCCCAGCAACTCGACAGGTGCCTGGTACATAGCAGATTCTCTGGAGATACTTGCTGAGTGAGTGAGTGAATGCTAGATTTTTTACTCTTCTAAACATAGAATTGTATCAAAGGGCGCTAGGCAGGGTCAGACTGACATTCAGTTCCGTTTAGCTGCTAAGCAGGTGAAATATTCAACAGCTTTCCAAGTTCTTATGTCCGTCATTATGCCCTTAACCTACGTGATCAAACATTTCCTTGTTTGCAGCTGCTCTCATTCGTGGAAACAGAAACAATTGCGCTCAGTTCTCCAATAACCTTGACTGGCTAATCAGTAAATTGGACAGACTAGAATCTTCCTCAGGTAAGAATTGGTAGGAAACTATAACTGGAGAAGATGAAGTTTTGTGGGGTTTTTTTCTTTCGGTAAAAAAGAAAAATGAGGTTATATCTTTTCTACTACATTGCAAACAATCCTCAAATAATTACTTCAATGAAAAGAAATAAAGTCCTAAAGCTTCCTGCCACCCATACAACTGTATTTAACAACTCTAACCCAGACTTCAACAATCCTTCCTTTCTAATTTAATTTTTTCTTTGTGCCTTCATCTTTACTCTCTGGGTTCCGAATCATCCCCACTTGTCCCCCACCCAGTGATCCTGGTCTCCTGATTCCTGCTGTACACTTATTCTCTGGGTCCTTAAACATTTCTCTCGCTGTTGTCCTAAGAAAGTTAGAAGCAATATTGACAGATGACTGTGGAATAAGAGGAAATGATGATCCTTACTCTGAATCACCCTTCACATCATATCTATAGCCCTTCCTGATGACTCACAGAGAATTTAAGCCAAGAGTGTGGTCATCGTTGGTAAATGACCATGCCATAAGTCTCAGCAGTTTGCTTCCCCCACAGTGAGTGAACATGGCAGGTGTAGGCCCCTCTCTGGGAAGCTGAAATGTTTTGATGCTTTTCTCATAGTCTAGAGGTGGCAGGTGCTTTAACAAACCAGCCGAGGGAAGGTTCCCCAAGGACCATCCATCTACATACGTGTCTTCCAAAGCCTGTCTTTTCTTCTGTGTCTCCTCTCATCGGCTAGATTACATTTCAGCATAATTTATAAAAACCTTGAGAAAAAAACAGAATCAAGAGGAATTTTCTTAATAAAATTAATGAAGCTATTGGCTAACTAATTCCCCTGAATTTTCATCATGGTGTTATCCTTCTATTTGCCAGGCTGCAGGAGCACCAGTTAGTTTTTCTTAAGCTTTCACTTACTATAGAAAACCATCCAGTGTGCCAAGGTAAGGGGACAAAACCAAATAGTCTTTGTTTAATGAGCTTCTAGTTTGTTCGGTACACCAGTGCACCTAAAATAAAAATTTCTGGAGAGGTTCCTAGAAAAATTCTTATTAGGGAAATACTTAGAATATTTTTTAAGTTAGTTGAATTTATAGTAAACTGGGCATCTGCTTTTATATCTATTTTTAAACAAAGTATTATTTGGTTTGATCAAATTTAGAATTTCATTTTACAACTGCTTCTCTGTATTTTTGACATAAAAGGATCATGACTTTGTCCAGGAAAAGAGAGATGGGATTAGTGTTGAATTAAACTCTCCTCTAAATCATAGACTTGTTGGCCCCCAGAGGTGCCTGAAGATGACTACATTTTTCTTCTGGCTGGAATTATTTAATAGATTCAAAGAATTGATGATATTCTGTTCCCGCAGGATGGTCTTTTCACTTTCAGGTTTCTAAATTATGGTCAGTTCTGCAGGCTATTAAATGTCCAAATGATTTTTGTGGCATTCATGTAGGTATCTTGGAAGTTTTGCACTGCATCTTGATTGAAAGCCCAGAAGCCTTAAATCTAATAGTAGAGGGCCACATTAAGTCCATCATCTCCCTGTTGGATAAACACGGACGGAATCACAAGGTGAGTGTGAAAGAAGAACCCAGTGATGCACTTGACCTGGCTTTTCCTTCCCCATCATTTAATAACTGTGTGTGTTACTGAGAACTTGTTGATTAATCTCTTTCTTGACTTTGATAAAAACCTTGGGAAATTGGGAAAGACCTTTCTTGCCTATTAGCACACTCCAAGCCAGATAACCACACTGGATCTTGGATGGTCTCCCTGGGTTTCCACCAGCTTTCCAAGCCCTGCTCATCACCATTAGCCCTTAACACACCACTCACTGTGGGGTGCTTGGCTTGGCCCAGTACAAGGCAGTTGCACAGGACTGGCTACCACCCTAGGGTCTAGGAGCTTAGTATTGAAACAGCTAATACAAAGCTGTGTGGAGAAGGCATGCAGAAATCAGATTAAAAATATGCTATCTACCCTAAGCAAATCATTGTATAGTATATGCATGTATTGAAACACACTGTACCCCACAAATATATACAATTAAAAATAATTTTTTTAGAAAAACGAAATGAGATTTACCGTAAGTCAAGCCAAGTGCAGTAAATATCTCTGCATGAGCAAGCAAGAGGACTAAAGCTGCCAATTCCTCAAACAGCTGTGTGACTTTGGTCCAAAGTTATTTCATCTATAAAATGGAGACAGTACCACCTTTCTTAATAAGATGGAATGCTGTATCATTATTTTAAGATCTCTTATAGATCTAACATCTCTATTTTTATGAAATTATATATCTAAGGCATACTGTTCTATGAAAAAAAGTCTGTTAAAATATGGTGAGTTTTTCGGGGCCGGCCCGGTGGCGCACTGCTACAGTGCACAACTGAGCATGGTCACTGGTCCTCTCTGCTCACCGTCATTTGGGGGGAGTGAATGTTTGAGACACGTCTTCGTGAATCCAAGAGAATGAGCCTCTGCACCACTGACTATATATGCAGCATCTTTATGAAGCAGAAAAGCCATGGCCCTCAGCATGTGTGAAATTGTTTGGCAAAGAATAGAAAGAAGTATGTGGGGTCTGTAATTGCTTTCCTAAAGGTGGTAAATCAAAAGCAGGCATGGGGCTCCAGCTTCTCTATGTTCCAACACTTTCCTTCATGTCTGTGAGTATAATAAGAATAATTGCTAAGTACCTGAGTAACATATGGTGAGAGCCATGAGCTATGTGCAGATGCCAGAGAAACCCTTTGACAGGAAAGCTACTCTCATTTCATTGCCCTGGCCACTTCTTTACAATGATATCACATAATGCACTTAATAAACAACCAGCTTTCTTATGCCTTCTTTCAGCCAAAAGCCACATAGCATGTAATGGATATCGCTTGCTGGCAAGTTGATTATCATTCTGCCCATTCCACAGTTGAGAAAACTGAGGCCCAGTAAGCTGNACTAAAGCTGCCAATTCCTCAAACAGCTGTGTGACTTTGGTCCAAAGTTATTTCATCTATACAATGGAGACAGTACCACCTTTCTTAATAAGATGGAATGCTGTATCATTATTTTAAGATCTCTTATAGATCTAACATCTCCATTTTTATGAAATTATATATCTAAGGCATACTGTTCTATGAAAAAAAGTCTGTTAAAATATGGTGAGTTTTATCCTCACCCTTCAACATCTACACCATACTTAGGGGCTACTGTACTGACTAATTAGGGACAGGTGAGGTACTTGAAGGCTGAAGGGGTATATTTCAAGAGCAAATGGCATGACTGGACATGGGGGACAGTAGCTGTGCTCCTTCAAAGTGGAGAGAACTGAGCATGGTCACTGGTCCTCTCTGCTCACCGTCATTTGGGGGGAGTGAATGTTTGAGACACGTCTTCGTGAGTCCAAGAGAACGAGCCTCTGCACCACTGACTATATGCAGCATCTTTATGAAGCAGAAAAGCCATGGCCCTCAGCATGTGTGAAATTGTTTGGCAAAGAATAGAAAGAAGTATGTGGGGTCCGTAATTGCTTTCCCAAAGGTGGTAAATCAAAAGCAGGCATGTGGCTCCAGCTTCTCTATGTTCCAACACGTTCCTTCATGTCTGTGAGTATAATAAGAATAATTGCTAAGTACCTGAGTAACATATGGTGAGAGCCATGAGCTATGTGCAGATGCCAGAGAAGCCCTTTGACAGGAAAGCTACTCTCATTTCATTGCCCTGGCCACTTCTTTACAATGATATCACATAATGCACTTAATAAACAACCAGCTTTCTTATGCCTTCCTTCAGCCAAAAGCCACATAGCATGTAATGGATATTGCTTGGTGGCAAGTTGATTATCATTCTGCCCATTCCACAGTTGAGAAAACTGAGGCCCAGTAAGCTG